ACAGCCTGCATGAATTGAGGGGTATGGAGCACAGAAGAGAACCATTTTAGAGGCAGTTCAGTGGTAGTACCTTATGGGAATAGCTCCAGAGAGTTCTGCACTAACACGGGTTGATACAACCCGCAGCACACTGGTAGAATGAAATAAACAGAAATTTCCTTATTCCAATTCCTCAGGATGGTCAATCTGCAATCAGCCACTAGAGAAGCAAACCTGCACAATAATAAGAGTCCCTAGCATTGCAGGCCCTAAGGACAGCATTGGAAACGGAATAAAATTACATCCCTTGGATTTGGAAAAAGACAACCTGTGACTCATTCTCTAGGTGGGCTAAGATCATGTGTGCCATCAAGTGGATGAAACAGACTGAAACATGGGCCAGAGTGCCACACAGCAACCAGCGCTGCACTTTGGTAGCCCCAATGCCTTACTTCCAAGAAGAGCATTAGTAATGGTCCTGCTGGAGACCAGGCACTGCTCCCTCCAGAAAGCATGCAGAGTACTGCCAACGTGTAAGAGAGGGAGGTGAATCCAGGTTAGCACACAAGAAATAAGCAGGAAGTTTCAACTATAATGACAGGCTCCTGCACAGCACTTGATGAGAACTTGCTCTGCTATAAAGCATTACCCCAAGGTTCTCTCTGGAGACCCTTCACCTTTGTCAATTTTCATTACCCCAGCCCTCCGGCCAGGGCGCTCCTTGAAATTCAGTCCCTTTCCAGGAAGGGACAAAGTTCAGCAACGGGTTGACCCTCAGCAGGTTCTTCAGCCCCCTACTTGAACCCTTTAAATTATAGCCCTGTGTTTAGACTTCTCAACAAAACTTGTCCCCTTCTAAGAGTTGGACCTCTTTGCCAGTATGGTAGGGAAGACCTGGGCACCCATATGACTCCAGATCACAACTCAGGGACCTTACAAATAGAAGGCACATGCTACTCCCTTTAACGCTGTTGCTTCTGCTATTCCTTGGGCCTCTTCCCATGTAGCCCCTTTTCTTTACCTTTACCTCAGGGCTTTCTGTTATCTGCTTGGGTGGCTCTCTCTCAGGACTCTCTACCTCTAGAGTTCCACAACCTTCCATTCTTTCTCCTCCTCCTGGCTCCATCTAGCGACTGACCTCACTGCTCAGCCTCTGTAGCGTCTTTTATCTGAGACTGCTGTGCTCTGATTGGCTGCTTCCCTTCAGCCTTTCTAGGCACACCTGGAGGACCCACCTTCACTGCTCCTTTCCTGGGCAGAGTGTGGAAGGACGCAAAGTATCCAGCAGAATGCCCCAAAGAGCTGGTATACCCAGTCACAGGAACAAAGATTTACACTGTGTTCAGAATGTACGGTGCTGTTTCCTATCTAGTGGCAGGAAGACAAATTAGAAGGGTTAGTCCCTTGAGTTTCTGATGCCCAATACTTCCCTTAACTTCAAAGGACCACAGCTGCTTCACCTCTCTGAAGACATTATCCTGGATCACCCTGCAATTCTCTGCAAAGACTAATTTCAATGTCTTTTATTTACAAGAAAGAAAAAAAATACTGATTTTACCCAATTAAAAGGCCATACCGTTTAAAAAAAATAAAGGGGAAAATTAATATGAGTAAAACCAATTCCCCCTCTAAAGTGTTTAAATAAAATAAAGATTTTTTTTAAATCAATCAATAACAGGTAAGTTGTTCACCAGAAATGAAAAATCACTTGCCAAACAGTACTGCACAGTGGCATCTGGAACACAGCATTTTCTTCTACAATTGTAAGAGGAAATTGGCTGCTAAAGTAAAGGAAATATGGTAGTGTTATTTACTCTCTCAGAACATAGGGACTAGGGGTCACTGAGTGAAATTAATAGGCAGCAGGTTCAAACAAACAAAAGGAAGTATTTCTTCGCACACCATAAAGTCAAACTGTGGAATTCTTTCCCAAAAGATATTGTGGAGGTCAAGATTATAACACAGTTCCAGAAAGAATTAGATACATTCATGACAGAGAGGTCCATTGATGACAATTAGCCAGGATGGGCAGGGAAGATGTCCCTAGCCTGTTGGTCAGAAGCTGGGAATGGGTGACAGGGGATGGATCACTTCATGATTACCTGTTCTGATACTTCCCTCAGGGCACCTGACATCGACCACTATAGGAAAACAGGCTACTGGGCTAGATGGCCATTCTTATGTTCTTAAATTACTGTGACAACTTGTTGACAAAAACTGATTTTTCATAACAGCTATACAAGCATTTGTTCTAACCTCTCTTGAGTCCCAATGGAAGACTAATTAATAACAACCCCCAAAATGGAACTGGATTTTTAAAAGATTTTAGATTTATATTTCTACGTATCAAAATAGGTTTTTTCTACTAAACAGTGCCAGCTACCAATGCTAGGTGGTCATCAAGAATCCAAACATTAATTGCCATGAACAAAGAGAGCGTGTACCCTTCTGCATTAGCATGAAATTACAATATAAGACAACAAGCCATTTGATAATAGGAAAATCCTCTTAAGTTTCTAGTTTGAGTGTGTGTCTGTAGGGGTTTTGACTGTCAGCTGTCAGCCCTGAATAATAACAATCAGTAATTTTAGGGGTACACCTGCAACATGTATTTCTAAGTGTACCTGCAAAGTGTTTAGGGCCCCCTAAACATCTACACAGCAATTTTTTACTACAGCGCCCGAACCTCGCAAGCCGAAATAACCGGACCTAGGTTAGACACAGGTTTTTTATCACCGAGTAGATGTATCTTAAGTGCCTCATTGTTCACATCAATACACACTAAACACTAGTACACACACTCTAAACATAGAATGATTCTCCATAAACCGATAGCACTGTCCATCTCTCAACACACTGATTTTTATGAGCATTGGTTTGCGATAAACACACCGATTTCCTGCCTTTCCTAGAGCTATTTTTTAAGAGAAGTTTTGCAGCTCCATAGTAATCAGGAGACAGCATGTATATTGTGCTGGCTTCTATATAATCATACGCCTCCGGCTAGCAGCAAAGTAATAATTCAGAATAATATTTTGGGACATTATGTGTAATCTCAAAGCTCCTTGACCTTTAATCATTTGTTTTGCACTGATGAAATGTTCACTCTGCTTCATTCTTTACAGTGCTTCCTCTCTTGATTATGTGCTTGATATCCCTGCAGCATGTATAAAATGGATTAAATGCTGCAATTGATTTATCATCATCATAAACATGATCAGGTTCAGGTTCCTATTAAAGTTCTTCGTATTTTCTTCCGTGACCCATTCTTTCCAAGACATATCACGGCAAAAGAAGGCTCCCAAAATTATAATATTCTCTAGTCTTAAAAGAGGAAATCAAACCTAGCCAAAGACGTAGCACAGCTACGGTCAGGATATCCTCCTGTACATCACCCTGGGAGCTATGGTTTCACAGTAAACAGGTTTAATTAGAACGAGGACCAAAAATCAGCCCCTCTCATTATAGTGGGCTATTCTAGAATACTTTAGTAATAAGGCCAAGTATCCACTTATGGAGAAGTCCTATAGATTGGAGTGACGATGATACCAACAGGAAATTATTCTGCAAGTCGACAGAACTTGGTTCTGATCAGTAATCTCTGCACAGATTATTTTAACCCAGGCCATAGAATTCCAAAGCAAGAGTGTAATTCTCTATCAGTTTCTACAGCACTTGTACATTCTGTGCTGCACAACAGCTTGTGTAAGTGGTGTGTATTACATACAAGAGAGAGAAATGAGGGGCCTGATTCTGTTCAGTGGCTCCTGCCAGGCGCAGAGCACCTCCAGCTCCTATTGGTATCAATGAGCTTTGCAAGATTGGGACCAATATGCTCATTCTCTCTCATTGTTCAACATGAAGACAGGCACAGTTTGGGGTTGCCCACTTCAGCTGGCATTGGTCACATCCAGATCACCACCAGAGCATAATTATGAAGCAAAATCAGGGTCATAATTTTTGGCATTTCTTGGCTACAGCTTCGCTAATGTCGGGCTCCCTTTTATTGAAATACTGATTGTCATTACAGCTAAGTATATTTCCAACCCGGCAGGCAGTGATAACGGGGGTGGAGAGAGGAGGAGATAGCTCTGACGTCTCTATCTCTTCTTACTGCTGAAAAAAATATTAGTTACGTGGAAGTAGAAAGAGCTCTCTGCAGTCATTACATAGCAAACAGTTACCACTTGGCTTCAACTTACTTTTACCCCCTTCACAAACACAAACGCACTCACTTTCTCTCTCTCAGCATGATACAAGTGTGCATACTGGCACTGTGTCGCATTTTTATTTATGTGTATGCTAAACGAGGATTAATTTCCACAGCCACCTTTGTGATCTTTACCCTTTTTAAATGCACCCATAGTACGTTTTTTCTATATATATGTCCAGCGAGTTTCTTCCCCATTACACCTGAATACTAGAGATTTCTTTTAAGAGAGGAAGAACTGAGCATTTTTAAACTGTTTATTAATAACTGTGACAACCTTTGTGTTATTGCAATTATTTACTTTTATTTTAAAGCACACAACGCAAGTCTTTCAGTTACAGATTACCATCAGGTTTCCCCTCAGAACTAACACACACCTGTATATTTTAGACAATATGATCTGTGGAATATATTCTGCAGAGTGAGAAGGAAATGCATTGTTGCCTAGATTATTTGTTTCGGAGTGTTATTAATTGCTACGTCAACCTGTGCTTCGTTGCAACCCTTCACTTTTATTTTGAAGCACACAGCCTGAGTCGTTCATACTCGGATCACGTAGTGTCCCCTGATCACCCCATTTCTAACCTGTCTCACTGGACTATTACAGGGATTTATTATTTTTCACATGTTGGGGGTTGGAGAGAGAAGGTCTGGGGGGCAAAGATAGCAAAAAATGCTTGGGAAAACAGGCTTGGTTGAAATGACATTAAAAGCCTTTCAAACAAGAGAGCCAATAAACTAGAAATATGCATACATACGCAAAACTGCACGGATCAAGGGCAGAGTTTGCAAGCTACACAGATAATCTTACCTGGGTCTTTGCCGGGTCCTCCCTCAGAACAATCCTTCCGTCTCCCAGCAGGAAACAAGGTTGTGACTGTTGCTGTCGACGGAGCAGGTACAGAAAGGCAGTTGGCTGGTTGCAGTCCCTGCTGCTGAGCTCTGGCTTCTGTGAGGGCTGCTGCTCCTGGTACTGATGATGCTAAGGAGGAGGAGAATGAGTGAGGAGGAGGATGGTGATGGTGCTGATGCTGTTGCTATGGTTACTGAACTCCGCAGCACCACTCAGTGCAACAGCTGCTCCAGCTCCTGGTTCTTTCAGACACAGGCTGTGGCAGAGCTGGGAACCACAATAATAATCAATGTGCTCTCTTCTCGAGCACTCACTTTCTCCTGTGCTTTTGCTGCTGCTGCTACTAGTGTGGAGCAGGGTCCAGCACTCTGGCTCTGTGAACAGGTTTACCACTGCAATGCTGGGATGACCCCATCTCTCAGCATCGTTCTGGAGGCAGGTTACGGGGACAGTAATAGGAGCAGCAACAAAAGAGACTTAAAAGAAGGGCCTCAGACTGACATCTCAGGACATATCCCCAACCCTTTGCTAGAGGGGCAGTGAGGCGGAGGATAACAGGCAATTCCACAGAGCTTGGCTTATGGGCTTTGGAGTGCTGGTGCACCTGAGAGGAAACAGGTGGTCCGCAGAAGTGCCTGAAATACTGTGACAGAATGTGAAGCCTTTTAGAATTGGCAGAATGAAATTTTGACCCCAATTAGGTCAATGATAATTTTGGCATTGACTTAAATGAGGCAAGGGTTTCGCTCATGGGGTTTCTGCATTTTTATAATGAACTCTCAAAAGGGACAATTTTCCAGTTTTTTAATGCAAAGACAGGACAATTTTCTATGTAAACAAAGGCCCATTTTCAAGGAAAACACAGTTGGAAGCTGCCCCCCCAAATGAAAATAGATTTTATACAGAATATTCACATTAGTCACAAGTTCCTAATGAAAAGGAGAGCCCAGAGGTGGGCAAATACAGGCTCACGGGCTGGCCCCGGTTCCTCCGAGTTAGCCCCTGGTGAACTACTACCACCTGCACCTCCACTGTTATATTGCCCTCCCTTCCCTAGAGCAGAGACTAGAGAGATATTTGGGGTAAATATTCTTGCAGAATTCCACTAGAGAAAATGAAGTTTGCCCTGCACTGGGACTCTGCAGGACTAGGAGGGGGAGAACTAAGGGGAATGGGATACCTCCTGGGTTTGGTTTCTAAGAAATATATATTTTAGGCTAGAGTTTTCCAAGCTTTATCTCTGCCAAAGTGCTATTTTTGAGAAGTTGCAGCAAAAGTCCTCTGAGCAATGGGAGAGGGAAGGGAGCAAAGTTACATAGTTTATGATTCATTTTATTTTTTTGTACACATTTGAACAGGGCCAGACTAACAACTGATGATGGTTGCAAGCTGAAATTGGATGGGGATGTGATCAATCCGTGTCTTTCCATGCTTTGGAAAAACAAATGAAATTAATTTTGCTGTGGTTTGCTAACCTTGCTAGCTACACAAGGGGGATATTTCAAAAGTTCACCCACCACTATAGGCCAACAGGCCAAATTGATGATATTGTTTTAATTTGTATTACTTGTATTAATTCTGTTAGTATAAGGTGGTCTAGACTAAGAAGAAATTGTTTCATTTGGTTAGCTGAGTATGATTAGAATTGTTTAGCCCTCTTCTGATCTGCTCTGTTCTGTAAGTTCCGTTCTTGAAATCATTCAGCTGTTTTCTGTGAAGGAAATGTAAGAAGATGTGGGATAAGGCATCAGCAAAAATGGTCTGTTTACATGGAGAGAGAAGACACCAAAGAGACACCACTGGTTAAGTACACAGAGTGGATACTCAAAAGGAGTTAGCACCTAACTTCTCTTCAGGCTCCTAACTCCCATTTTCCATGAAGGCTTCTTTTAGAGTATACAACTTCAATGAGGTGCCTAACTCCCATAGATTTCAGTGGAATTCATGGCTCATATATACCTTTGAGGATCTTGGTCTTTCTGTCTGTACAGCCCCTTGTACAATGGGCCTTGATCCCAGTTGGATCCACTAGCTGCTGTGATGATACAAATAACAACAACAACATTATGCTGTGGCCACAGAGACGTTTCAGTGGGAGAAGCCCTTTCAGAATGCATGGTTATTAATTGCTATGGAAGTATATTACAGCCCCCTGCAGTGTGCTAGAAGGCAACTTGTAATACAAAGAAACAAAACATAGCCTGCCCCAATTTAATTTCACACATGATGTAACAAAGGGGCAATTAAAGAGGGGGCTAGAAGGGATAGAAAGGGGTCACAGCAATGAGATTACATGGTTTCTCAGCAAACGTGAATTGGTTATTAATTGCTATGGAAGTATATTACAGCCCCCTGCAGTGTGCTAGAAGGCAACTTGTAATACAAAGAAACAAAACATAGCCTGCCCCAATTTAATTTCACACATGATGTAACAAAGGGGCAATTAAAGAGGGGGCTAGAAGGGATAGAAAGGGGTCACAGCAATGAGATTACATGGTTTCTCAGCAAACGTGAATGTGTGT